CTTATCGACTTCTTGAGAAGAATTCTAAGAAGAAAGTAAACCTACAGACATCGGTCTTGTTTAACAAAATCTGCCTACAAGAAAATCTGTCACCAAAGTATACCAGCATCCTAATTAGTAAATCTAAAAATCATTTATATTTCAACAAGGCAGCCTTGTTATTGTACTTTAATTTCTGATGTAAAAAACAAAGCAACAAACCATTTTTGCTGATGTCTAAGCTCTCCAAGTTTATAAGTGATGCTATTGCTGGGGGAATGGACTGAATTTCATTGTCATTCAACACCAGCCTCTTCAAGCCATGGCAGTGAAATAATGGCTGTAAAACAGTGTAAGAGCAAGAAGCCTGTATTATTTTCAACGTGATGTAACACGGTTAAATAAGAATGTGTACATCAAAAAACAGCTTTAAAAACTGACAAGTAGTCTAAGTCAAGACAATAAAAACCCTCTCCATTTGTACCACCACGAAAAACAAACACATTTCTATCTCTGATAATATGACGTACACATTTTCTATGGAACTAGTTACTGGATTTTCCTTTTTTTTGTCAATACATTATTGAAGAATGCTACCAGACTTGAAATGTGACCTGAATGAATGAGTAATATTATATCCCAATATCATTGGTGTGCGTTAATATTATATCCCAATATCATTGGTGTGCGTAACTTTTGCATCATCCTGTTCAGTAGTATATACAGATTACATGTTTTGTAAAGCATTTTTTTATCTTGTTTTTTGAGCCACTTCATGTGCAGACTTGGTATCAGGTGTGACATCTCTGTCACAATTTCAAAATTACTTGTGAAAATATCAGACTGATCTATGTTCACAAGAACTAACCGTGCAGTGTTTTCTTTAGACTTGAGAAAACTTAGTTTCAACAATGAACAAGATGTAGTCTCCAGTTGGTCACAGTCCCCCTAGTGCCTAGTTTCAACAATGAACAAGATGTAGTCTCCAGTTGGTCACAGTCTCCCTAGTGCCTAGTTTCAACAATGAACAAGATAGTCTCCAGTTGGTCACAGTCCCCCTAGTTCCTAGTTTCAACAATGAACAAGATATAGTCTCCAGTAGGTCACAGTCTCCCTAGTGCCTAGTTTCAACAATGAACAAGATGTAGTCTCCAGTAGGTCACAGACTCCCTAGTTCCTAGTTTCAACAATGAACAAGATGTAGTCTCCAGTAGGTCACAGAATCCCTAGTGCCTAGTTTCAACAATGAACAAGATATAGTCTCCAGTAGGTCACAGACTTCCTAGTTTCAACAATGAACAAGACGTAGTCTCCAGTTGATCACAGACTCCCTAGTTCCTAGTTTAAACAATGAACAAGATATAGTCTCCAGTAGATCACAGACTCCCTAGTTCCTAGTTTAAACAATGAACAAGATATAGTCTCCAGTAGGTCACAGACTCCCTAGTGCCTAGTTTCAACAATGAACAAGATATAGTCTCCAGTAGGTCAGACTCCCTAGTGCCTAGTTTCAACAATGAACAAGATATAGTATCCAGTAGGGCACAGACTTCCT